GTGCGCTAGGATGTTGTTCCTTCTGTTCTGGAAGGCGTCCATGTGCACTCTTGCTGCCTGCTGCCTTGTACCGTGCGGGAGGGTAAGCATCCTGGTCATGAGCCTCCGTCGCGTGCGGTGCGTGTTGCGCCAGACTTCTTCGCAGAAGTCCTTGATCTGCTGAAGCTCCTGCGCGGTGACGGCCCTGGTCTGCTCTTGCGTGTCCGTTCTGCCACCCACATTGGTGATGGCCAAGAGGTGCGGTACGCAATGCTCCATCCAGTCGTCCATGTCGTCCCAGACCTCTTGGTCGACCATGTTCATCCACTGCTCCGCGTAGCCCTCCATGTGGTCCACGAGCCTCCAGCTGGCTTGGACGACAGAGTGCGGATGGTTGGGTGGCTGCTGTGGAGCTGGCTGCGGGTCCCCTGCCTCTGAGCTGCCCCCGTCCAGGTCGATCGCCTCGTGGTTACTCAGGCCGAGCTTGAAATCACCAGGCAAGGTGATCTCGTTGAGACCCTCATCAGCTGGGTCTGCTGCTGGCTTAGCTCCTCTTGGCAGCTTGCCCCTCTGCATGTCCGCCAAGACCCGCCGCCCTGCTGCTGTTGGGGGCTGACATGGCCTGGCCAGCTTCCTTGCCACTCCTGCCACGATCCTGCTCTTGTGGTCTCCAAGGTAGCTGGTGCCGCCACATTTCTCGCACCAGAGCCAGCCATGGGAGAACTGCGTCTTGTGGGAGACGTACACCACCTGCGTGCCGATCTGCAGCGCCTTGAAGTCGAGCCTGACGTTGCCGTGCTGGTCCTGGTGGCCGCCGTACTTCCCGAGGCATTCTCCCGTCTCTGCCAGCCAGTCTCTGATGCTTTGTCCTGTGGCTGGGCCACTGCGACACGTTGCACACCACCATCGCGGATGTAGCTTGCGCAAGTCGTGTCCCAGCTGGGCTGCCCTGTCCCTCGCCGTCTGCGGCTTTCGGCGCTTGGCCTTGGGACGCTGAGGGGCCTTGTTGGGGTCCTCCACCGTCACCGCCATGTTGATGGCTAGCAGCCGGTTTTGCACCGCCGTGGTGATCTGGTCCCTGATCTGCTGCTGCGCGATGATGGCTGGATCCAGTGCTCCATGCTCCGCTCCCCAGCCTGCGCACTTGTCTGCCATCTCGTTTCCTATGACCCGCCAGGTGGGACCATTCCACCTCTCCAGCTCGGCTGGGTGCTCGATCAGGTGGCTTGGGATGTGGTGGCCCATGATGGTGTCCGTGCTGTTCTGCAGCTGGTGCTTCGTCTGGAGCCAGAGGTCGTAGTTCGTGCTCCTGTAGTCCAGGTCCTCAGGATCCTGGATCTGCTTGAGTGCGTCCAGGGCGTACTTGCAATCGCTGACTATGTTGAGCCCCCTGGCTGTCGCCGCCGTGGTGTACCCGATGGCTTTGCTCATGGCGGTGAGCTCTGCCCGTGGCACCGTGTGCGGCGCCCTGATCGTGACGTACCAGGCGGCCACTTCCTGCGGGCGTCCTTGCTCGTCGAACCTGAAAGCCACCACTGCCCAGCCGCAGCGTCTGAGGCGGGGGTCCTGGGCCGTTGCCCCTGCACCACCTGAGCCGTCCGTGAAAACATAGTCTGCACGGACCTTGTGCCCTGACTGGGCTGCCGCCTGAGCCTCTTCGCTGGTGCAGAAGATCTGCGCCGCCTTCGCCGCGTCCTCGTCTGGGTCGACCTTGGCTGCCCAGGCCGCTGGCGGGATGCCACGGAGCCAGAAGTGCAGGTCTTGCCGCTGGTCCAGCGCGTCCTTCGCCTTCTTCGCCAGGTCGGTGTCATTGCTGTGCCCTATCTCTGCGTTGGCGGGGCATGCGTAGTAGCGGTGTTCCTCTGTCTCTATCGCCTCGCCGCATCTCGCGCAGGTGTCGTCGCCTTCTTGGTTGAGGTTGGCCGCCCTGCGACGCTCCCTGGTCCAGGTGCCCGCCGCCGCTATGGTCTCCAGCATGGCTGCCTCTGCATGCTGTCCTTTGCGCCTCCTCCTCCTCAGGTGGCGCTGCAGCTGATAGAGGTCGCCTCCAGCCTGAAGTCCTTCTCCACCGCGATGGCCAGCTGCTTGCTGCCAGAGCTGCTGCTGCGCGCTCTGCTGGACTTCATGCAGGAGCGCGCCGAAGTGAAGAATGTCATCTGGCTTGTAGGCCCACTCGTCACCTGCTGGGCTGGTCCAGCTGTCCAGGCGTCGCGGTATCCAGCCTAACCCAAGCAGCTGCGCGATGACCCCTGCCATAGGCCCCTTGACCTGCTGCCATCTGCGGTTGGGTTCCAAGGCGTCCAGCTTGGCGTAGAGCAGGAGCCAGCCTCTCTGGTACCTCTTGAGCTCCGTCGGGTGGTCGACTATGGTGAGCCAGAACTGCTTGATCTGGTCGCCGATGGCTCGGGTTACTGCCTCTTGCATTCCCCCCTGGATCAGGAGGATGGTGGACGTGCAGCGTCCAGCCTTGTGTCCGCCTGTGAGGAGCGCTGCCTCCGTAGCCCTGACCGACTTCGCCTCCGTGGGCGTGATGCCGTGCGCTGGTAAGTCCCAGGCCTGCTGGCAGTAAGCCCCTGCTGAGTAGACCTTTGCCGCGCCTCTGGCGTCCGTCTTCGCTAGGTCCTTGAGCTTGGCCACCCTCTGCTTGGCCTTGGCCTGGCGCGCGGCATGGGTGGGTCGCCGCAGCTGCTTGCCGAGGCTGGTGTCCACGCCGAGGTCGCGCACTACACCTGGTTGCTTGTTGGGGGTGCCCAGGCTGTCCAGGATGCTGGCGACTTCAGCCTGGAAGTCCTTGCCCGAGGCCACCACTGCCTTCTTAACGGAGATGGGTATCGAGAGCTGCTTGAATCCATCGTGCACCAGCGCTGCCACGTACTTGATCTGGTCAATGACCTGCCGCCGCGCACCCTCTACCTGCAGGGCCAGGTCGCCCAGGTACTGCTGCATGACGACGAAGATGTGGTGCCTGTGCGCTGCATCCAGGATGCCATACAAGAGCGGTCTGGTGAGGTCGACCGCTTGGCCGCAGCCAGCTACCATGCTGTTGGCAGGCTCGAAGATGTCCGAGAAGAGGCTGTGGGCCATGATGGCCCTGGGCGCAAGGTACATCTGCACGGCCATTGCCAGCGGCAGCAACTGGTACTGGAGGGCGCTGGCCTTCTCGATCAGCTGGTCGAGGCCTATGTTGTCGTAGAAGTTTGCCGCGTCGTAGAAGACTCCTGCTGCATGAAAGCCCATCTCCGTGGCGGCTTCTGCCCTCATCAGTCTGTGCATTGCCACTCGTAGCGCTGAGGAGCCAGCTACTGCCGTGTCCCAGAAGCCCGCTGTTGTCTTGCTCTAGGTGGCTACTATGGGCCTCCTGGCTGCGCTCCAGATGCGGTACGGCATGGGCATGAGGCCGATGGGGCGCTCACCGCCGATTCCTGGCTTCTTGCCCAGCAGCAGCTCCAGCACCAAGTAGAATTGCCACGGCCACGCTGCCCGTTGCTCACAGCTGGTCAGGCACTGCACGAAGTCTTCCAGCCCCTGGGCGCCCATGGCCTTGAGCTCTGGAGCCCTCCACCAGTCCGCTCCTTGGCCAGCATTGCGCTTCAGGTGCTGGATGATGGAGCTCATGATGTCCTTGCTGATGGGCTCGCATTCTCTTGGGCCAAGGCAGCCTGCCTCAGCTTGGCCAGCGCCTCTTGGATCCTCTCGGCCTTCTGCGCATCTCGTGTCCACCTGCGTTGCCATGCCTCTTTGCGCAAGTCCACCAGCTGCTGCGGGTGGTTGATGACCTGGCCCTCGTGCTCAAGGATGTCCTCCAGGTGGCTGCGCTCCGCTGCCTTGGTGTAGGCGTGGGCCATCTTCGCACTGCCTGCCGTGGCGTCGTGCACCCAGTGGATGTACGCCTTCTTCACCGCCTTTGTGAGTAGCTTGGCCATGCTCTTTACCTCCTCTGCTACCCTGCTGATCGTCCCTGGGTCCACGAGGGCGCCCTCTGCTATCGCGTGCAGGTCTGTGAGGAGGGCCTGCTGCTGGTCCTTGGCTGCACCTTCTTCGTTCAGCCTGCCTGGGTCAGGCTGGTTGAGCTGCTGTGCGAGCTGCCGTCTTGTGTTGATCTGCTGCTGCGTCTGGTGGCCGCTGTGGGTGCGGACCTGCAGCTCTCGGCGGCTACTCGGGCCACTGCCTGCTCCTGGAGCATCATGTAGTTGTCTTCGAGCTGCTCCTTCTGGTGCTCGTTCGCCAATAACTTCTCGCATAAACCTCCGCAGGTTAGCAAGCTCCCTCCAATGCATCATTTCCAATTCGTGCCTCCTCGTCGGCTCCTCTCGCGTAAGACCTTGGAGAAAGCCTCGACGTCGTGGTTCTGCATGCCTCCATGCTCGCTCGCAGAGGTCCCTGATGATGTGGCTGAGGCCGGCCTGCTGGTACCTGCGCCTGAGCAGTCTCACCATGCCATTGTTGCCTCCGCCACCCAAGATGGTCTCCAGGAACGGCACACAGATCTGCATCCAGTTGCTGTTGTCCGTGGGGAGCTGCACCAGGTTGTCCATCCAGATGGCCGCCCAGTACTCCAAGTCATCTCTCATGGCCACGTAGTCTTCCCGCTCCCGCTGGTGCTGGTCCTCATTCCAGAGGTCTGGTGGGGGCAGGCCCATATCACGTGGCTCCTCTGCCTCTGGGCCTGGCGGCGCTTGGTTCTGACTCCCCAGGTGATCGGTACCCTCTGCCTCCAGAGTGCCAGCTGGCTGAGGAGGTGAGCAGTGCGTGTCACCTGGGGCAGTATTATCAGATCCAGCTGCATGACAACGAACGGTCTGGCCGTAGTCGATGCTGTCCTGCTGCCTCTCGATGGGCTGGTGGTGCCCGTCGCAGTCCTCCTGATCTGCGGTCTCCTGGCGATGCTCCAAGCAGTCCTCCTCCTCCTCGAAGGGGTCGTGGTCTTGGACGTCCATGGTGCTGCGTCCTGCTGGTGGGGGAAAGGCAGATCCAGCTGCGCGACGGCGAACGGCCTGGCCGAACTCGAGGCTGTCCTGCTGCCACTCGATGTGCTGGTGGTACCCGTCGCTGTTCTCCTGGTCCGCAATCTCCCGGCGGTACTCCAAGTAGTCCTCCTCGTCCTCGAAGGGGTCGTGATCTTGGATGTCCATGGTGTTGCGTCCTGCTGGTGGGGGAATGGCACCCCTCTGCATCCCTTCTGTGCAGCTGTCTGCGCTGCTGTGGGTTGGTCCCACGTCGAGGTCTGGGACGCGCCCCGTGGCGTCGCACTTGGGGGACGGGAACCCCTGACACATCTCAGGGCAGGGGCCAGCTGCCTTTCCATGGTCAGCTGCGCTCGCCTGTGTGGGGGATGGGTACCCCGAGGAGAGTGAGGTGGGGCCTACCTCTTTCTCTAGGCCAGGCCGCCTCGCCCTCATCTCTTGGAAGGCTGTGCCCGTCTCGGAGGTCCAGGACGCGTCCTTTGGCGGCGATGCTGGGCTGAGACAGGGTCGCTCTGGGCTCTCTTGGGCTGGCCCCTCTGTGAGCTCCTGAACCTCGGCCTGAGGAGGGGAGACCTCCTCAAGTGCTGGCTGATTCGCGATGTCCTTGGTGCTACTGCCGCCGCCTCCATCTGCGCCTCCACTGCCTGCGTGCCGCTGCTGCAGCTCGGGGGGGCCCTCGCCCCGCTCGGTGGGGGCGCGATCCACCGAGCTTCCTCCCGAGCTCTTCGATGGGCTCATGGCTGGTGCGGGAACTCCGTCTTCGTGGCCTACCAGGCTGTCAGACATGACGGGGCCAAGCTCAGGCGCCGACGGGCCCTGTCCACCTCCTGAGTCCTCATCGGGAAGTGCCTGGGTCTTGCCCTGTCGACTTGCTGCTGCCTCCTGCGCTCGGGCATCATGGTGCGAGAGCTGCCGCGCCAAGGAGGAGATCTCCGCCCACCACGCGTGGATCTTCCTCTCGACCCCTGCCCATGGCGTAGAGGTGACGGTGTCCTTGATGCTCGCGCTCTCGTAGCTCGGGGGCCGGCTGTGCCCGAGATGTCGTCCACGCTCTTCCTCTGGGATGCCGATGCTCTCGCACAGGCTGAGCTCGAGGGTGCTTGCGAAGCGGTCGTACTGTTGCCCCAGGTCCAGCATGTCCCGCTCCATCATCTTGCCGACGACTGTGTGCTGCAAGTGCTGGGGAAACTCGTCGTAGGCGCGCGCGCTGACCCGCTCGGAGGTGGCCTGCCACAGCACGTCAGGGATGACGTGCTGGACCTCCTTGTCGTAGTACACCTGCGGCACTGGCTTCATGTCGTTCTCGTCCAGGTCGCATCCTGCCTCTGCCAACGCTTGCTGACGTCGGCGCATGGCCTCCTGGCCTCCGCGCGCCGCTCGTCTGCAAGCGGCTCTGGACTTCGGCATTCTCTCGACTGTGACTGGCGGCTTCATGGCTGCTGGCCTGCGAAGTACCCTGCCCTTGAGCATGAGAGGCCGCCCCTTCAGCTTCAAGCGGATGCCGATGTGCGGCTTCCACGGCGCGGTCCTGATCAGCTCCAGCTGGTCGAAATACGGCGCCGGGCCCTGCGAGATCAGCGCGAAGTCGATGCACCTGGCATCACCTACTGCTGGGAAACATGTGGGGGCGCCATCCTCCGCCGCTGCTGCCTGAGCATTCAGCGCCCTGGGCCAAATGCTGTTGTTGAGCTCCGACGGCGTCATGTTGAAATCCCCAAGCGCTGCCCAGGGCCCTCCCCAGACGGCCATCTTCTCCCGCAGGTCGCAGAGGATGTCGACGTTCCGCTCTCCAAAGCCCGTCCCACACTCAAGGTAGACGAAAGCCACTGCGAAACGAACCTTGTGCAAGTTGGAGATCACCACCGTGACGTCACTGCCGTCCTCGTGCAGGTAGTGCTCATCAAAACCCGCGATCCTGTCCTGGATGTCCAAAGATCCTCGCGTGATGGCACACGTGCCTCCTCGAGTGCCTTCCCCTTCTCCTGGCCGTGCCTAGGTCCAGTAGCTGTGCATGCCATCCCTCCTGGGCGCCGCTCTTGCCTTGCTTATCTGCGCAGGCTGGCGGAGGTGGTGCTCCGCGATGCCAATGATGTCCCTGTCCTTGGTGTCGTTGATCTCCATGAGGTAGCCCTGTGCCTGGAGGCCCCAGGTCGTGACGTTGAAGAAGTCGATGTGGTGCGGGCGGCGAGCCTTCTTCGTGCTCGCCTTGGGGCGGCTACCCTGCTGAGTGGTCACCTTGCCCTTCTGCATCGACGACTGTCTCGGCGCGCCTAGCCAGCGAGACCTTCTCTCGCGCCTCCTGGATGTGGGCCTCCACTCTAGCTCGGCGTTCTTCTGCTTTGTCATGTTCTGCTGCGCCTGCTTCTGGTTGGGCAGCTGCTGCGGCGCCGGTGGGCGCAGCCGCGGCGGCTGTCCCTGCTGCCTCAGTGCAAGTGGAGGCACCTCGCTGAGGGGCTGGGCTGGCGGCGCAGACTCGCTTGCCTGGTGGGGCTTCTGCTGCTGCTGGGTCTTGCTCTCCGCTCTTTGACAGGCGCTTGGTGCAGGCCTGCTCGAGCTGGCGCAGCTGCTCCTGGTGCCTGGCCGTCTCTTCCTCCAATAGTCGCAGGTGCTTCGCCGTCTCCTCCTCGTGCTCCTTGACCGTCTGGGCCATGCGCTCGCCCTTGGCCTTTGCTGCTCGCCAGACCTCCTTGTCGGGCTCGGACCACTTGTGGAAGTCGTCAGGATCATGCTCGAACTGCTCCAGGAGGGCTGCCAGAGTTGGCTTCTCGGCTGCAGGTTCTGCTGGGGCCTCTTGCTTGCCGACTGTGGCCTTGAGCTTGTCGAACTCATCTTCGGCTGCAATGGAGGCTTCCATGGCTTCACGAAGCTTGCGTTCACTCTCAGCCAAGTACTGCTGGGCACTCTCAACTTGCTCCCCTGCCGATCGTACTTTCTTCTGGAGTTTGCCCAAGCGTCGAGCAGCTGCCTCCACTGCCTTGAATCCAACGACTGGTTGGTCTGCTGGTGGCTTGGCTGCGGCGAGCTCTGGCCAGAGGGCCTCGTAGTGCTGCCTGAGCGGGTCGTCCTTGCTGAGCTTGCTGTAAGCTGCTGCGGCGGCAGCCTTGAGGTCGACAGTCTTGTCGTGAGGTAGTGGCTGGCGTTGGCCTCCTTGTCCTTTCCCGCCTGCGCCACCACCTGGCTGCCAACCATCTGCCCAGCTGATCCTGGGCGAGGTTCCTCCTTGGGGCTGTGCTGCCAGCCACCCACCATCGTCTTCACGGAAGACATGACCGTCGGGGACGAGGCAGGCGAGGTTCTTGCCGCAGATGCAGAGGTCGCCCCTGCTGGTGATATTCTTGCAGTAGCGCCATCAGCTGCACCCGTCACACACCACGTAGCTGCTGCGAGGAGGGCGACTGCCACTGCTGCTCCTCTTCCACGGAGGAACCCTCTGGCGATTCGGGGTCCCCGACCAGGCGCTGCCCGCCCCGCGTCCGCCGCCGCCACTCCCCATGGCTGCAGCGGTGCCGCGCGCGCGCCCGACGCCCGTCTGGGAACTGTCCTCGGTCCAGAGGTCTCCCTTCGGCCTGGAGGCTGGACAGCCCCCCAGGTCGTCATCTTGAGCCAAAATGGCTACGGAGGAGGAGAAGAGGAGGAGGAGGAGAAGGAGGAGGAGGAGGAGCAGGACTTCTCCACCGTGTGCGGTTTCTTTAACAGAGGGCCTTTCGAAAGCCGTACGCGCGGAAGGCGGGTGGAGCTCAACGTGCGGCTCTCGCCCGGGAAGCCTCCAGCAACCCGGGTGGAGCTCGAGCGCAGGCCGCTGCCAAGGCACCGCCGGACGGCCTCGTAGGCGCTCTGCCTTCTGGGCCCGCACGGCGCCCGTATGTCATCGGCCTCCACCCCGACCCCCAGCTTCACGTCGGGCGCGTCCCCCTACGGGCGGATCTTTGAGGACAAGTGACAAATACGCAACGCATGCCCCCCAAAGTGCTCCAAAACGGTCGAACAATCGTCCCCAGATCATGTTTGGACTATTCTCGACTCTTCCCCCTGTGGAGGGACAGGCGCGACTTCACCCGAGCTTCGCCGTCGCCATCGACAGCAGGCGCCACTTCTTGGGGTGCTTCGTCGCGCGCTTGTCCGGCGGGGTGTGGTGGGGGGCCTGCGCTCCGCTCTCGTCGTTGGGAGTGGACTCTCTGGAGCCGCGAGGAATGGAACTGCACAGGTCCACCAGAACGGCCAGGACGAGGAGCACGATCTCATCGAGGAGATGCTGGCCAGATTCACGGAGGCCGTCGTGCTCGGCACGCAAGTCATGGAGTTCTGGGGCCACGCAACGCGGGATCGTGGCCACTGCTTCCAGTGCCGCCTCGGAGAAGGCGTTCCTGCAGGGCTCCAGGAGGCGGTGTAGGAATCATGACCAAGCTGTGGGAGAATACCAGAGGCGACGAGGACCTCAGGTCAGCTGTTGCGAACAAGCGCGAGCGTAACCTCCAGGGGCGCATCAAGCGCGTGGAGGAGTAAGCGCGTGCTCGCGTGAGCAAAAGCCTCTGCACAATGCGGTGCGTACTGCTGTGGCTGGTTACTGGCAGACTTAGCGCATTCGCATCTCCGTGTTCTTGGTCTTTGGGAGGGGACCAGAGTTAGTGTCGTCTCCCAGCAGGTGAAGCACCATCCTTTTTCCACGTGCAACTGACCGCGCGCTGACGATGTGGTGGATTTCGGAAACCCTGAACCCAAAAGCTTGTTCATCTCTTGTGGGCGAATCTTTTACTTCCGCCGCCTTCCGCCAACCTTCCGCCGCCTTCCACCAGCGGAGGCGGCCTCGTTTTACATCCGTCGACCTTCCGCCGCGGAAGAGCTGGCAACTCCTTCGATCCTCGAATGCGAAGCCCTTCCTGGAGTGCCTCATGCACATAATCGCCCGCCCGGCTGCTTCAAATGGTGTCGCTTCGCATGTCTCTGCGATCTGGCTATGGGGCGCGTCTCTGCACGGTGTCTTACCCCTCTGCCCCTCTCTCTGGTGAGCGCGGCCGTCTGCAGCCTGCATGTTGGGCCAGTGCTGGTGGTGGAGCGCCCGTGCCCCGCCGGCAACGCCAAGCGGACACCAACACGGATAGCCTAAGACGGGGGAGAGCGGCGAAGGAGGGAACGAGCGCGGAACTGAGCAGCATGGACAGGCCTCAACGTCTCTGGCCCTTCCTCCTCCTCCTCCTCCTCCTCCTCCTCCTCCTCCTCCTCCTCCTCCCCTTCGCATTCCTGGTCACGCGCTGGATGGATGCAAAACAATTCCTTTCCAAAATAAGGCTTTCGCCTGACTGGCAGGCCGGAATGGAGCTCGTCTTTCAAGGGGGCGCCTCTTGTCGCGAAAAGGGAGGCTGGTAGGAAGTGGTGAGGGTCCTGGGACGGGATGGTGTATTGCAACATCGCTGATGCATCTTGGGTTTACTCTGTTCCTTCCTCCACCCCCATCCTCGCCCTCCTCCCCCTCCTCTCCCCTCTTTTTCTTCTTCTTCTTCCTCCTTCTCCTCCTCGTCCTTCTCCTCCCTCTCCCCCTCTTTCTCCTCCTCCTCCTCCTTCTCCTCCTCCTCCACCTCCTCCTCCTCCTCCTCCTCCTTCCCCCCCCTCCTCCTCCTCCTCCTCCTCTCCTCCTCCTCCTCCTCCTCCTCCTCCTCCTCCTCCTCATCCACCTCCTCCCCCTCCTCCTCCTCCTCCTCCTCCTCCTCCTCCTCCTCCTCCACCCTCGAAGTGGCCCCCCTCGTCGTCCTTTTCCTCCCCGCCACCCCTCAAAATTGCCCCCCCGCCCCCGCCCGCACCCCCAGAAGGACCTCTCTCGGAGCGCGCTCTGAAAAGGCAGCCATCACCCAGAAGTCCAGGAGGCGCGGACGTGGAGACGGAGACGGGTGCGCCTCCTCGCACACCTGCGAGGCCCTCGCCCTCTGCCTCCTCCGCCCCCGCGCGCTCCCCCTCGCTCCTCCTCCTCGCTCTCCCCCTCCTCCCCCTCCTCTTCCCCCTCCTCCTCCTCTCCTCCCTCCTCCTCCTCCTCCTCCTCCTCCTCCTCCTGCTCCTCCTCCTGCCCCCTCCCCTCCTCCTCCCCCTCCTCCTCCCCCTCCACCCTCATCCCCCTCCTCCCCTTCCCACCTTCTCCTCCTCGTCTCGTCCTCGTCCTCCTCCTCCACCTCCTCCTCCTCCTCCTCCTCCTCCTCCTCCTCCTCCTCTTGCTTCTCATTCTCCTCCTGCTCCTCCTCCCCCCTTTTCCACCCTGGCACTCGAGCTGGTCCTCAACCCGGTCGCACGGGAGAGCCCCGGGCTTTGGGTTTGGGTCCCTGTCAGACCACGCCGCTGCAGGAGAGTGAAGCCGGCGGAAGAGGGGGGAGGGAGCCAGGAGAGAAGCGGGAGGCGGAAAAGACGGACGCACGGCCAGGGGCCCTGCGCTACCGGCACCCCCCGCTAGGCGCGCATGCGCCCACCAGAGGCAGGGAGCGGGGAAGGAGAGGGGAGGGAGAGGGGAGAGGAGAGGGGAGGGGAGGGAGATGGGAGGGAAGGGCGGCCCCGCGCGCCCGGCCCTCTTCGCCAGCCGCGGACAGGGTGCCCTGTGTTTTTTGGGGCTTCGATGGTTTTGCGATGGACAGCGCGACTTTCCCACACCAAAAAAACGATGGACGCCCTGGGGTCTCAGGGTTGGGTTTTTGTCGTGGGACGTTTCTTGTGGTCGGGCCCGTGCCGCAGAGGCCATCACTTCCCTTTGCGCAGGCGGCCTGGGCGGGGCGGCGTGGCCTGGGCCCCATTTGCCGAAATTTACCCCGCTGGATGGGGATATGGGCCGTTCCCTTCGGGTTCCGAGGGGTGAAATTTCCAACTGGGGGCGTAATCTGGTGGGGGCCTCGAAGGGGATGGGGATGGGGAGGGGGAAGGGCGTCGGTGAAGCGACGCTGAGGTGTGGACCCGCCGCCCGGGCGTCCCTGGCTGGGGGCGCGGACCGTCTGGCAGCGCCTCCCCAGAGTGCGCTCCGCTGGCCCCCCATCGCCGCCGCGCCAGGCGTCCTTCGCCTCCTCCTCGCCCTTCTCCTCCTCCCCCTCCTCCTCCTCCTCCTCCTCCTCCTCCTCCTCCTCCTCCTCCTCCTCCTCCTCCTCCTCCTCCTCCTCCCCCTCCTCCTCCTCCTCCTCGTTGCCATTCTCCTCCTCCTCGTCCTCCTCCTCCTCCTCCGCCTCCTCCTCCGCCTCCTCCTCCTCCAGAAAACCTCGGCGCTGGTGGCCTGGCTGGCGCCGGCCTGGCACTGAGCAGCCCGGCGAAGAGGAGCAGCGCCTCCCGCTCTTGCTCGGGGTCCCCGGTGTCGGCTGCGGCCGCCAATGCTTCCAGCACCGTCGGGCGCGCTGCGTGACGGACGCGCCACGGAACCGATCCGGCTCTTGAGAGCAAAGGTAGGCGTGCCGATGCGGAGAACCGCTGGCCATGGGAGGCGCTGCCATGTCCCCGCTGCGGGAGCACATCGTTGTCCCAGTCCTCGTGAACCGACGGCGGCAGCGGGTCGTTTGCCTCTCCCCCCCGCGGCTGCCACTGCGATCGTGGCGCTGGCGACCGAACCGAAGCAGCTCGCGCTGCCTGCATGTGTTCTACCGTAGCATTCCCACTCACTGATCGACTAATTACCAGCGTTTTGTCTAAAGGGAGCGGCACATGAGACGCATTTCCACCTCCCTCGATCCAGGCTGCCCCACGCAGCCAGGCGCCGATCCTCGCTCTCGAAGGGGATATTCAGCACCCTTTGCATGACATCCGGCGGGAGGAAGTCGGCTGCAGGCCGACCGCCCAACGTCGCTCCTGTCGACGCCGAACCCGGCGACTGCCCCCGTCCTCGACCCCCTGTGGCACCCTTCCCGGATCGGCGGCCATGATGACGGGGGCCAGAACGCGTACGGCAAGCGAGCGAATAACTGCAGATAAGAAAGCGGGGATAATATCAATATCCGATGCAATGACTGGTGCGGCGGGGCGGAAGGCTCGGTATGCGGCTACCAGCGTCGACGGGGCGACACACGACAGACACGTGGAGCTCCCTTCTCCCCCTCCTCGTCGCCTCACCACCTCCTCCACTTTCGGGGATCTGCTGACCCGGGACAATCCAGACCCGGGCCAGTCAGGCCTTGCAGGATCCTGCAGGATCCTGCACCCAAGCCCAGGTCAATGCGACCCTGGCCCCGCAAGATCCTGCAGGATCCTTCAGGATCCTGCACCCAAGCCCGGGTGAATGCGACCCTGGCCCTGCAGGATCCTGCAAGATCGGGCGCTCTGGCTGATCCCCGTTTGCATTGACTCCCGTCTCTTGAGCCTCGACCCTCCCCCTGTCCCCTCTCCGCCGGGCCCGCCTCCCCGAACACGGGTGCGGTCTTCGCCATCGCGTCCGCCCTGGACCCCCGCGGCCACCTGTCGGCGACTCAATAGGTGTGGTTTACAAAAAGTGTGGTTTGCAACCGGCACCCTGGGGAACATCCTCGGGGGCACCCTGGGGGGCGCGCGGGGACGACAGACTTCCCCCGCGCCCCGAGGCGGCCCGACGAGGACAGTGTCGTGCCCCCCAGGCCCCAACGGCGCCGATCGCAAACCACACCCTGGCGTAACCGTACCCTTTGTAGTCGCTGAACCTGCCCCGCGGCCCGGACGAGGGCCTCGCCGGCGCACCCGGCCCGCCGCGCGGGCCAGACGACGGCCTCGCCATCACATCCTCCGCGGGCGTGTGGGGTGTGGGGGGGGGGCAGGGAGACAGGGCGGAGGAGGGCGACTGGAGGGAGGGAGGAGGAGGAGGAGGAGGAGAAGGAGGAGGAGAAGGAGGAGAACGAGAAGCAGGATGATGATGATGATGATGATGATGATGCTGATGATGATGCTGATGCTGATAATGATAATGATGATGCTGATGATGATGATGACGATGATGATGATGATGATGATGATGATGATGATGATGATGACGATGATGATGATGAGATGATGATGATGATGATGAGGAGGAGGAGGAGGAGGAGGTGGAGGAGGAGGAGGAGGGAGGGAGGAGGAGAGGAGAGGAGGAGGGGAGGAGGCAAGGAGGAGGAGCACGAGAGGAGGAGAAGGAGGAGGAGAAGGAGGAGAACGAGAGCAGAAGGATGATGATGATGGATGGATGATGATGATGATGATGATGATGATGATGAGGATGATGATGCTGATAATGTGAAGAGGATGATGATGATGATGATGATGATGATGATGATGACGATGACGATGAACTGAAGATGATAATGATGATGATGATGAAAGAATGATGATGATGATGATTGATGATGATGACTGATGACGATGACGATGACGATGATGATGATGATGATGCTGATGATGAGATGATGATGATGAATGATGAGATGATGATGATGAGATGAGAGGAGAGGAGGGAGGAGGAGGAGGGAGGGGGGAGGAGGAGAGTAGGAGGAGGAGGCTAGGGAGGAGGAGGATGATGGAGGGGAGAGGGGAGGAGGACGGGAGGAGGGGGAGGAGGAGGAGGTGGAGGGAGGAGAGGGGGGGGGGGGAGGAGGGGGAGGAGGGGGAGGTGGAGGAGGAGGAGGAGGAGGAGAGGAGGAGGAGGGGGGGAGGAGGAGAGGAGGGATGATGAAAAGGAGGGAGAGGAGGACCAACGTAAACCTAATACCCATCAGCGATGTTGGAATAACCCTCCCTTCCAATTCTCTCTTTTCGTAGGCTACATACAGCAATTCTTTTCCACTGAAAAGAAATGCCACGTTGGAGGACAGCCGAGTGATTCTTCAAAGGTGTCAAAACATTATTCTCAGGACTTCAACGCCAAGAATCAACCTGACCGTTGCGTCTTGACCATCCTGAATTGTGCCAGAACGCCCTTCCTGGGTGTTACACTATGAATCAACGTCACTGTTGCGATTGCCTTCCTGGGACTTCAACACCAACGAATCAACGTCACATCAACGTCACTAAGTCACGTTCCTGGGACTTCAACACTATGAATCGTAAATCGTTCCAGAAGCACCGATTCTGGTATCTTGACCATGAGACTTGGTGAAACTCTTACGCCATTTGTAACGAACGTGTGCGGCGCTGACGCGAGAACACCATAAAAAGAGGAACCGCTCTCAATCCGTGAAGCGCTGGCAACTGTAGCAAAACGAATGTGCGCGGCGCTTAGGCGAGACCACCATTTTGACTACCACCCGCCCTCAATCCGTGAAGCTCTTGCAACTATCTGAAGAACCAATGTGCGCGGCGCGAGGGCGAGAACACCATTTTCAATACAACCGACCCTCAAATTGTGAAGCTCTTGTTTTTTTGGAAAAGAATATGCGCGGCGCTAAGACGAGAACAACATTCTGAAAACCACCGGCCCTCAATCCGTGAAGATGTTGCAATTAGTTGAAGCGGATGTGCGCGGCGCTGCAGCGAAAACCACATATGGAAAACCACCTGCCCTCCATGTGTGAAGCTGTTGCCAGTTTGAAAATTTCAGGCTCCTAAGCGGCAAGGAAATCTCAAGCGAAACGCTCGGCCCACCCTTCCGACTGGCCTCGGGGTGCGACAGGGAGGAATTATTCAGGAAAAGGAATTGAGGAAGAGGAGGAGGACGCGGAGGAGGAGGAGGAGGAGGGAGGAGCGCCAGTACCTTCGAAGAGTTCGCGGGGAGCAAGGAGGATGAGGGAGGATCAGGAGGAGGAGGAGGAGGAGAAGGAGGAGGAGCAGGACGAGGAGGAGGAGGAGGACGAGGAGGAGGAGGACGAGGAGGAGGAGGACGAGGACCATCGCATGCTAATGAGGGAGGCTAGGGTTGGGCCGACCCGACCGTAACCGAAACCTAGGGATTACATCCGCTCTCCTCTTACGCTGGCTTTCTTCCCTACGTCGCCCCTCCTTCCTTGAGGAGCAGGAGGAGGAGGAGGAGGAGGAGGAGGAGGAGGAGGAGGAGGAGGAGGAGGAGGAGCCTCTAAGGTTTCGAAACGTCTCCTCGAGACGGTGGCTGCTCACGCGCGTCGATTGTGTGGAGTGAGGAAGTAGGAGGGAGTGATGGGGGAGGAGGTAGGGCGAAGGGAAGGATCATGAGGGATGGTGAGGTGCAGTTGAGGGAAGGATCATATCCATGAGGAGTTTGAGAAGGAGAGAGAGAGAGAGAGAGTGTGTGTGCTTGTGTGTATTATTTGGTACATTGTAAATGCATCTACGCATAGAAGGCCACCTGGGCTGTCAGAAACCCGACCCGCCACCGTAGTTGGGTTGTGGGCCAGGGCGCTCTTGGATGTCGTTGGGGTCACTTGGGGAAGCTCTGGGGGATCTCTTGGAGGCACAGAGAGGCCGCTTGGAGCCTATCGGGGGCCGGATGAAAGCCTCGTGGGGTCTCTCGTGGGTCTCTTGGGCGATCCTTGGGGGCTTCTTAACACTGTCTGGCGGTTTCTGGGGGGCCTCTTGGAACCTCTGGGGGCAGGGAGCTGGCGGTTTCAGGGGGCCTCTCAGGGCCTGGTGGGGCCCACTTCGGGCCCTCTTGGGCCGTCGTGGGCGCCGCCTGGGAGCCTTTTCGGCCTCTTGGTGCGTCTTCGACGCCGAAAAACATAGACAAAACGAATGTGCTGACAATGCGTTGACCGTTCGCAATATGAAGATTGGGGCTCTCCGGGCCGTCTCGAAGCCATCTTGGCGCGCTCGTGGGCCGTCTCGGAGGCCTCTTGACCACTCTTCGGTGCCTCGTAGGGCCCTCTGTGGCCGCATCGGAAGTACACTAGGCCGTCTTGGAGCCATGTGACGCCGTCCAAAGGCCCCCCCCCGGGGGGGGGGTAACACGGGCGTAATGCGGCAGCAGCAGCAGCCTCCTCTCCCCCCTCCCCTCCTCCCTCCCCCTCCTCCCCTCCCCACTCCCTCTCATTCCTCCTCCTGCCTTCTCCTCCCTGCCTCCTTCCCCCTCCTTCACACATGGGTTAAATGTTTCCGGCAGCTGCACACATTGACGGAGTGGTGGCTTTCAAACTGTGAATCTCCAAGCAGAACCGCGCGCATTCGTCTTACACCTGTCCGACGACTGCTTCACGGATGGAGGAGGCTAGCTGTTCTAAAGTGATCGCCTGGCACTTCTTCAGATGTGATGACACCGAACTTCAGATCGTGCAGCAGGTCAAAGGATGGAGGGCGTACGCTCTTCAAACATATCGCTTGGTACTTCCTCCAGTTCGTTCTGCGGCCCGAAATCTCCTAAACGCCCAACGTTTGCACCAGTGAAGGGCGGTCGCTTTTCAAACCTGAGATCTTGCCTGGCTCTTCCGCACGCTTTACGAACTAGCATGATGATGTGTGGCCATGATTGCGCTGATGGGCGGCGGCTTTTTTTCATACGGGGCTTTCGCTCACATGGCAGCCATATAAGACGCTCGTCTTTCAAGGGGGCTCCCAGCGCAGCCTTTGACAAAGGGGGTTCTGGAAAGGGGGTTTGGAGCGACAAAGTGTGTTGCAGTCAAGTTGAGACATCCTGCGTGTAATCTGGCAACTCCTCCCTCATCCTTGTCCTCGTCCTCCTCCTCCTCCTCCGCCTCCCTACTCCCTCCTCCCTTCTCCCTCCTCCCTCCTCTCTCCTCCATCCTCCATCCTCTACCCTCCTGGTCCTCCTCCTCCTCCTCCTCCTCCTCCTCCTCCTCTTCCTTCTCCTCCTCCTCCTGCTCCTCCTCCTCCTCGTCGTCCTCCTCGTCGTCGTCGTCCTCCTCCTCCTCCTCCTCCTCCTCCTCCTCCTCCTCCTCTCTCCTGTCCTCCATACTCCACCCTCCTCCTCCTCCTCCTCCTCCTCCTCCTCCTCCTGTTCCTCCTGTACCCTCCTCCTCCCCCTCCTCTTTCCTTCATTCCTTGTCCTTATGAATAACCTCTCCCTGTCGCACCCCGAGGCCAATTTTGAGGGCGGGTCGAGTGTTTCGCCTGCGGCTTCCTCGCCATTTATGATTCCGAAGCTTAAGAAGTGGCAGCGGTTTCAGAGATGGAGGGCGAGTGGTTTTCAGAATGTGGCTCTCGCCTTAGCGCCGAGCACATCTTTTTTGAAAATGTGCAAGACTTTCGCGGATAGAGGGCGGGCTGTTTTCAAACTGTGGTTCTCGCGTTAGCGCCGCGCACATTCGCTTTTAAACGTGTGCAAGGGTTTCACGGATTGATGGCGGGTGGATTTGAAAATGTGGCTCTCGCCTTAATTCGTTTTAGTAAATTTCCAGAGTTTCACGGATTGAAGGCGGTTCCTTTTCAAACTGTGGCTCTCGCGGTAGCGCCGCGCACATTCATTTTGAAGAATTGGACGAGTTTCGCGGATTCCAGCGATCAACGCGCCAGAAATGGTGTTTTGGACGGATTCAAGATTATGCGGGTTGGTTCGCGGTGTTGGAATCAAAGAAATGGCGTTCTGGCACGATTCCGGATCGTCAAGACGCAGCAGTCAGGTCAATCCGTGGCGTTGAAATCCCGAGAACAATGTTTTGGTATGCTTCGGGGTCTTCAAACGGTTGTCCTCCAACGAGGCAGTTCCCTCAATGGGAATGAACCGTTGTAGGGGCCTGTGAAGAGGGAGCTTGGAGGGAGGGTAACATTCCAACATCGTTGATGACTCTTGGGTTTTTTTTCGGGGGGTTCTCAGGGGTTTTCTGAAAGAGCATCGTTTTAAATTGTGGGGCCCCAGAACCACCGAACAAAAACTAGAAGAAACCTCGAATT